AACTATTGATATTAGCAGCAACGGAAAGTTCATTTGAGGCCCTACAATAACATTGCACTTTCGAGAAAAGCTTGAATTACACGTAAAATCTTGACTTCAACCTGAGTTTCTTACTAAACAACTAACCTTGCTTTTTGTTTCTAAAAACCGACTTCACCTGAGTTCCTTTCCGATGATCAGCAATGGCTATTTAAATGGCATGGCATTTGCAAGCTACCTTAAAAGTAGCTTGCAAATGAGGCCAAAACTCCTACAAGGTAAACAGCCAATGTAAAAACATGCCCCCAAATGCATGCTTGTTAAAACATTATTTAAGAACCTGTCAAGTTTAATGGGCAATCTAGGACGAGATGCATTCGGCCGCGAGAAAAGTATTCAACGAAGAATTATAACCGATAATCATTTACGGATTAATTTATATTCACATTCAAGAAGCCCATATTTTCTTCATGGATACGGCACGCACAGTAAATGGTCAGAGCTATGCGTCGCGCGGTAAATATTCCCTGTCTTGACCAAGCTCTAAAAATTATACGAGATTTGCCCTCGACCTGGAATATCATTCCGAAAACCTAAAAGCTCTGGCTAGTTTTCCAGATTAGCTGCTGGCAACACGCGGTGCGCATCTCAGACTCGACTGAAGTAAATGCGTCGCGCACTGAATTCTTGTTCGGACAATCGCCCTCGTCTGGCGTGTGTGTGTGTGTGTGTGTGGTGTGTGTGTGTTGGGTGTGTGGGTGTTGGTGTGTGTGTTGTGTGGTGTGTGTGTGTGTGTGTGTATGTGTGTGTGTGTTATGTGTGTGTGTGTGTATGTGTGGTGTGTGTGTGTGTGGTGTGTGTGTGTGTGTTGTGTATGTGTGTGTGTGTGTGTGTGTGTGGTGTGTGTGTGTGTGTGTGTGTGTGTGTGTGTGTGTTGTGTTGTGTGTGTGTGTGTGTGTGTGTGTGTGTGTGTGTGTGTGTGTGTGTGTGTGTGTGTGTGTTGTGTGTGTGTGTGTGTGTGTGTGTGTGTGTGTGTGTGTGTGTGTGTGTGTGTGTGTGTGTGTGTGTGGTGGTGTGTGTGTGTGTGTTGTGGTGTGTGTGTGTGTGTGGTGTGTGTGGTGTGTGTGTGTGTGTGTGTTGTGTGTGTGTGTGTGTGTGTGTGTGTGTGTGTGTGTGTGAGGCACGTGCCTTATATTCCCAGACGTGCCGGATATCGATTGATCGTTTTATTTCGTCGGCGAAAAACCGGTAATAGATGAAACTGGCACATCCCACACTTTCAGTTTAAATCCAAATCACATATAAATTCACTGCAATGGAAATCACATCTTGATTAATCTAATGCAACACACATATTGCCAACGACCAACGCCAGTTCAATATTAGGCTCCGTAACAAAAATCGCCCAGTATGTGCTGTAATGCAGCATCAGGACTCGTGCTGTTTAATGTCTGTAACCTTTCTCGCCAAAGAAGCGCCGGCTCAATATTTAAGTCGCATTGGGCGGTGCGCGTTCAGAATGTCCCGAGAAGTCGCGAACAAAGCAAAACAAATGGAAGTAAAAATTATGCGTTTTAGCTGCACTGTGAAAGAATTATTCGACTCTGTTTTGTGAGAAACAATGGCGATGGGCTCGGTAAGGCCCGAATAGCATTGTCTCATACAAGAAGCCGTCCGACAATAAATATTCCACGACCGATGCATGGAAGTAACCAGCACATGAACGTGAAAAGGAGCCGGTGGAGGTGCTACCTGACTACTTATACAGCAGGTGAAACACATGATCGTACACATCTTACCGTGATAGCTCATTCTGGCTAAATGGCCCGTGACATTAGGGGTTTACGATGCATCACCACTCGTAATAGATTATGCATTATGAGTTCCTGCGGGTGCGGCGATCGACCGCCATTGTCCGGCTGGCATGTGTGCGCGGTCGGTGTGTGAGTCACGCCGGATCGCGGGCGATCCAGGCCGTCAGTGCCGTGTGCCGCATTTCCTGGCGAGGCGGTGGGGGGAGGGAGACTCAGAGGCATTGGATGCCCCGTCTGGATCATCTTGCTTGCCGCTTCCTGATCTAATTTTAGTCGTTATTACACCAGGCATCAGGTATTAGCCATAGCGTCACAGTGAATCCCCGACTGAATGAGGTACGTGTCACGGATTTTCTGCTTCGCAGTGGTGGTTTGCGTACACACGGTGTTGGCAGCAGCTTTCTTGGGTGCTGACAGAAACTGCATCAGCATCCGACGTCCGCTTGCCCTCCTGTCACCGCTAACATCAGCCTGGCATGTCCGCTTGCCCGCTTGTAGCCGGTAACATCAGCATCAGACGTCCGCTTGCCCGCTTGTCACCGCTGACGTCATCAGACGTCCCGCTTGCCCTCCTGTCACCGCTAATATCAGCCTGACATGTCCCGCTTGCCTGCTTGCAGCCGTTAACATCAGCATCAGACGTCCGCTTGCCCGCTTGTCACCGCTGACGTCATCAGACATTCGCTTGCCCCTCCTGTCACCGCTAACATCAGCCTGACATGTCCGCCTGCCCGCTTTGCAGCCGTTAGCATCAGCATCAGACGTCCGCTTGTCGCGTTGTCGCCTCTAACCGTCATCAGACCGTCCGCTTGCCCTCTTGTTACCGGCTAACGTCATCAGACGTCCGCTTGCCCGCTTGCAGCCGTTAACATCAACATCAGACGTCCGCTTGTCCGCCCGTCACCGCTAACGTCATCAGACGTCCGCTTGCCCTCTGTTACGCTAACGTCATCATACGTCCGCTTGCCCTCTTGTTACCGCTAACGTCATCAGACGCGTCCGCTGCCCTCTTGTTACCGCTAACGTCATCAGACGTTCGCTTGCCCGTTTGCAGCCGTAAACATCAACATCAGATATGCCCTTGCCCGTTTGTCACCGCTAATGTCACCTTGTGGTCCGCTTGCCTGCTTGTCAACGCTAATGTCATCAGTCGTCCGCTTGCCCGTGTATAACCGCTAACACCAGCGTCAGATGTTCGTTAGCCCGCTTGTAGCCGCCAAAAGAAACATCAGATGTCCGCTTGCTCGCTTGTCGCCACGAACAGCACGATGCATGGACGCTGGTGCTGGATCCTAGCACGCGGTCATTCAGCTAGCAGCTTAATTAGATGTGTGGAAAACAAACAAAATGAGACCATAGTTAAGTGTTATTTACAACAACGCAGCTGGCAGGACTTCAGCTATGCAAAAGTAGTAGCGCCCCATGAGGAAGAGACACTTGTGTCTTCTGAGGCACGTTACACAATTGACTCACATGCAAACTTATTTTTGGGGTTGGCGGGCAGGGCAAACCCGCGGACAAAATGAGAATTGTACGAGAATAAAAAAAGCCGTGTTTCCATCCACTCCGTAGACTATTGCGGAACTCGATGATGTGAGAAATAGGAAATATGATGTCCATGTGCGTTTGTTTTGCTAGTGGCTGTTGATAACAGCTGAGGGTGGATTCTTAATCTCATGTGGAACGGCATGGAGGTAAGGCGAATGCATGGTAATTATCTCTGGACCCACACCGGAGCTGGGTGACTGAAGCACTTCAGACCATGGTCATGCCTCGCCAGATTGGGACCTTGGTCGCTGACTGGCATATCATGTATGCCAATTATATCTGGCGTTCCGAAAAAGCCGCTAGGGTCTTCCACCGTACCCATGTGACATGTACTAATCTCTGTGTGGGACACTGTAATTTGCCGTTGTGCCCCTGTGCCGAGGGAGCTAGTTCGTGGAGGAAATTCGTTTCCACAAATCATTTCTTCTGACACTATCAGACAGCGAAAACAAGGCTGGTTGTGACAGGTGAAAGACAACATAGCGCGAGCGATTGTTACGAAGTTTGAAGCTGGAGTTTCTCGTTCCGCTTCCAGCCCTGCCATGCCCAGGTGAGGTGGTTGTGAGATTTTGCACCTTACAGTGAAGTAGCGCTCATGAGTGCTCACGCTGCCATGCATCCACCAGAAGTATACCATGCATACTTCTGGTGGATACGCCGAGGGCAAGCAGATCCGACGTTGCAGAAGCTGACGATATCATTACCGCGGCTAGCGGTGGTTTGCCTTGATAACCGGATGCACAGATGTGCTGTCGACAGCACCTTACATGGTATGTCGACTTGGTGCAGCCAACCACGAACCGTCCGCCCACGGGGTGCTGATGACTGCACTAGCGCCATCGCTTGGTGCCCGCAGATACGACGCGCGCGGCCGGCCCGCCCGGCAGAGGCCAGCACCTTGCAGATGACCTGCTGTCGCCGCGGGCCCGCACCCATTACCAGCTGTCGCCACCGGGCCTGGTACTGAGCGGATTGCGGCAGCTGGACCAGGGCGGCTACATCTGCCGCGCCGACTTCATCCATTCGCCGTCCAGAGTGGGCGTCACCAACCTCACGCTGATTGGTGAGCGTCACCAGGGTCCTCTGATTTTCAGGCCGGCCGCACCATCATCAAATTGATTGGTACGTGCTACCAGGGTCTCCCTGTTTTCAGCAAACCAGACTGACCGACAATTGTCACAAAAATGGCGGAATTAATGCCACGTCTTGTCACGTTTCCTGCATATTAGCTGAAAAGGCAGGTTGTGGCTACGTTTCCCAGGACGTGATTCTGGCTGTGGCTGGATGTGCCCACGTTGCTAAATATCGGGACATAGCTAGGCCTCGATAAGTATCGAGTTTTGGTCACGATGTCGCACTCAGAGTTTGTTTGGTTTTAATGGCAGTGCACTGATATCATGGAGTGATCCCTAATTCAGCTGCACCGCCTCACGTCCGTTCATTTCCCAACTGATCTCATTTCCCCGGCCAAAACCATCAGCCGTGTCCACGTGCTTCGTTCCTGCCTTGCGCCGAAGCCTCGGATAGCCATAATTGGCTTGAGTGTAATCTACTGCCCAAGTTGGTCCTCTGGAGCCGGAACATCCTGAAGTCATCGGTACCGTCAGCCAATTTTGCTCAGCGGGCAGCGCTGTGCGCACTACGCCGATTGCCAATCAGATAAGCGCGCAGTGTTCCGGCGAGCGAGGCCCTGTTCCGCCGATGCTCGCTGCTTGTTGGACACGGGTGCTCAATCTGGCGCGGAGCTGCGTTCGCTGCGCGGACGGGCGTCAGGTTTTAGGTGTCTTTGATCTGTCGGCGGCACAAATTTGCGATCCTCTGTTTATGGAAGAGTTGAAGTTGTCGGCATGGAGGGCAACAGCGCATTTCGTAGCCAGCTGCATATGCTACAAGTTGATCCATTTTCGAGTAGCGGCTCTTTAGTTCCGGCGACCGTGGCGACAGGCAAAATGCGGCTGCTATGTTGGTCAAGCGTTGGACAGCTGCCGCGGTGCGCTGTTCTGGCGCCTGCTGCCAGGTGGCTGACTTCAGTCCGCAGGCATGCTTCTGCTCACAGCTGAGGTCGTTCTGGCCAACGCCAAGCCTGCGCGTCTCTGTTTTCTCATAAACGCCCGGTAAACAGAGACCTTTGTCACTGTCAGGAGTCCAGGACAATTCAGTTAATTACACTGGAGTTTCTCGTTTCCGAGTCGGTAAACAGCAACTTCTAAGCTACGGCGCCCAATGTCTTGAGTGTCTCGTGCCCTTGCGGCCCAAGCCCTGTCCTGCCACCGCGTACCAGCTCTATTTTCGCTTGGCAAATCGAACCACACCGGCTGAGTCCGTTGTTTACTTAATGCTCGGCCATCACGGCGGACTAAGATTGGCTTCGCTGATGTTATCAAGATCCCGGAGCATGGCAGAGGCATAATCAGTTCCACTTAGCACAAATGAAGGGCAGTAAGTGTCTGTGTTTAATCTGTTCACACAGAAGTTGCGCTTCTGTTTCTGCTAGGAGACACCCTAGACGGAGTGGAAAATTATTGTACTTTCATTTCTTGAGTAACCTAGCAGGGCATAACACTTTTTCCGTAGACTGTTCAATCCGCTAAGTGCGGCTAATACCATGCGATTGTCGTTTTTTTAAATGGGCGGTATTTTCAGCCATCATTCATCGTAAACAAAGACATGCAACTCACTTTCTCTCTTACTTTGTTATCAAAAGAAGGGCGTCTGGCTCAGAAAATTTATGCGTGTTGTATGCATTTTATGCATCATTATGTCAGTGCTGCCCACGTAGAGAAGACGTGGGCTGCTCAGCTTAATCTTTCCCATCCCACCAGATTGCTGAGCGCTATATTTGGAGTCAGTCTGCGTTGTATAGTATCTTGATAGCCTTGTTGGTGTGCGGCCCACCCTCATGCCGAATATGCAGCGTGTTTCATATATTTCCCTTGCAAGCAGTATATAGACTAGACTTTTTGGAAATCACTCGAACAGATGTCGAAACTGATCTTATGTCTTCGAATTTCGGAGTGAGAATGACTCGCGAACATCGTTTCACTGACGCTTACTTACCCTTTGTCATGCCCGTGTTTATTCGACTGTTACTTAGCTTGTTCACGCCGTATTCCACTTGCATCTAGTTCTGACACGCACGGATAATAGGACAAGGAGGGACGAATAATGATAGCACTAGCAATGATGATACTAGTCTAATAATACAAGTGTTAGAAGGGCTATGAGACCCATGCTCACGGTGACCGACGGTTTGTTTACCAGCTTCGGATGACTCGCCGCTCGACACTACGGATGCTCACATAGTTGTCTTCCTGCAGTCCAACACCAGTCAGATGGCGGTGGCAGCATCTCGCTGTGTTGCTGCTGCAAGGAGTCTTCGGCACGGGCCCGGTTTCGACACGAGTGTTTGGAGTCTTCCCGAAAAATGATGACTATGTGTCGTCATCATACGATGTTATGCAACCGCCTGATGGGGGAGGGGGAGGGATAAGGTAACCCCTCCGAGCTTTGAGACTACCTATTGCATCGTTCTAGTCAGGTTCACCAAATTTGCAGTAGCTGGTAGATTGGCAACTTAGCACTCTGGAGGACATAATTTTTCCTTATCACACTGAGTCGCAACGTCTTTAGTGAAGACCTGCATGATGACTTTGCCTCAGCGTGCCATCATTCGCAGTTTCCGTTTTTGTGTTCCAATAATGTGACCTGCCAGTTGAGGTCAGTCATACTTTACCAGGGTCTTATCAAATCACGATCAGAGGTCTTGAGAGGTCAATGTACAAGCATCGGACCAGAATTATCTGAAAATCCATATTTGTGATGACATAAGTTATCATTATATTATCACTTTATTATCACTTTATCATAGTGTGTTATCAAGCGACATATAGTACAGTGACTTATACTTACAGACAAGTGACTTATATCAAGTGACATACATTATCACTTTAACTCACCAAGGTCCAAATAAATAACTTATGAATGGCACGTGAAACATAGGGGAAATAAATCATTTTCGATTGGGCGGCCGGAAATTGAAGTGATGTGGCCTTGACTCAACCCGACCTGGTCATTTACCTTTAGCGAAGTGTTGGACGTGGCGAATGTGATCTTGAAATGCAGCTCGTTTTGTGCATACATGAGCCGTACCACCAGCCGCCAGAAGATGACTTTGAAGCTCACGTGCTAAGCCATGGCGTCCGGTCGCGGTAATGCAAAAACAAGGAGTCATGTCCAGAAGCGGCCATGCGGGGCCTTGCTCTGGAGACGCACGTGAAGCCTAAGCTGTGCATTTTCATCGGAAGAAAACTAGTCATCTCTTTTCGTGGCACGTGCAGAACTTATCCGAAATCAAGAGGCAAGCACGGACAACTTAGTTACTGGATAGGGGACGGCAATGCAGTAAATATGTCAATATGCAAATAATATGCCAGACCAGGAAATATTTTCATATCCTGGCTATGGCATGATTGCCAGACTGCATTATCCGATCCTTATCGGACTTGACTTGTTCATACAGACGTGTGAACTTGTTCGTTTTCTTCCAGATTTTTGCCGGGAAAACAATGTAAACTGCTGAAATTTGCGCTACTCAGACTAGGGAACGCCTGCCTACAGGCTTACGCCCCCAGCCGACCCTTACACTAAAAGTCGCCAGCGCATTCAAGTCCTCGAATGTGTACGGTGACGTCACGTCGCACCCAGCATTGCCCTAAAATGGCCGTCTAAGTTCCCGTCTCAGCTGCACTGCGTAACACACAGTGCAGCAGTCGTGTTGACTGGCTTGTGTCAGCTTGCGGGTACGTTAGTTACCTGCATGAATTGCGCTTGACTAGCGGACTACTCAAATGGGCATGTTGAAACAGGTGCTCCAATAACTCATCGGTGGCGTGTTTGAGGGCGGAGGATTTGCGTCACGTGAAACGAACAGCTGCGTGGACAGTCTCCGCATACCGGCGGCATTGTGACATCGATCGGCACGCTTGCAGCGTTTAGTCATGACATGCCAGTGACTGACATTGCCGTGGGCCGGTGTCCGCAGTGCCGCCGGACGTGCCCAAGGTGTACGACAGCGCCGGAACCCGGCTTCTGGACGTGACCCCGCCCGTGGCCGAGGGTCAGCCCCTGACCCTGACCTGCGAGGCCAGCGGAGGTGAGCCTCGGCCCACTGCAGTGTCAGTGTCAGTGTCAGTGATCACCGTCAGAGTCTGCGTCGCAGTCAGGGCCAGCTTTGGTGTGGCTAACTTGTGTCTGCATCAGCGTCAGTGTCAGCGTCTTCGTTGGTGTCGCTGCCAGTCTTGGTGTCAGTGACACCGTCAATGTATGCGTCCCCATGAGCGTCAGGGCCGGCGCCACTGTCGCTATCAGCGTCAGCGCCACTGTCGTCGCCAGTGCCCAAGGCCGTGCCAATGTTGGTGGCACTGGCGATACGTGCGGTGATCGCCGCGTATCTGCCGCTCGCGTTTGTGGGTGCCGGGAAAGAAGCGCGGTGTTTCGAAGGGAGCGAGCTTCGCCGACCGATGATGACTGCTGGGAGGCCCCAGTAACGATCTTCCTCTCGCGCCTTCACAGAAGGCACAGTGGCCATTCAGGCTGAGTAGCGTGACGCCATTCGCCCCGGTAATGACTCAGCTGCCGTGGCAAGCTGCGGGCGGAGCAATGTCATCGACAGTGTTAGCCGGTCGATTCGTCCCCAACTTTGTCGCCGCGAACGAAACTTATCGTAGAAACAGCTGAACGCAGTGTTCTGAAGTTCTCGACATGAAACGCAGCGAGGCGATAGCCAAACTACGGTCCGCAAGAAACGCAGGCTCTTGAGCTTGTCTCACGAGCCCTGACAGAGTGACACTGTCATGAGCCGTGGCGGCCACATCTCATGACTAAGGCCTCCGGCGAGGTCAGGTCTGTTATCAAGAGCGTCCCCGGCACCAGGAGTGTCCTCCGCACGCCCCTCCTGATTGGGGTCTCAGCGCGTTCGTGATCGCCCTGATCAGAGGGTGGCAGCACGCAAGTGCGTGTCAGACAATGACGGTCGATGGCCGCGTTCCGGGGCGTCATAATACATAATCTATCACGGAAAACTGGCACGTACGTGACGCCTGGTACTGACGGCCGGGCATTCCCTATGGTCTGTACCCTTTTTCGTTGTTGTTCTTTCTTGCGTTAGCACAGGTAAATCTAGAGCTGCACTAGGGTGATCTAGAGCTGGAGCTGCACTAGGATGATCCTTTAGCATGTCAGATTGACGGTCCGGCCATGCCCTCTTTCCCGTTCGTGCGGATGAGGATGTTGAGCTGTTGTTCATGGTGACGCTCAGACAAGATAGATCACTGAAGAATTTTCAGCATATCCCTGGACAGCCCTAGCTAGTTTACATAGGTGGTAACCTAATTACTGAAAATATCAAGCAACAAAGACGCGGGAACCCCGAGGGGGGGGGGCAGTGGGGCAGCTCCCCCCCCCCACACACTTGAAAACTATGGGGTTGGCGCCCCTCCCCCCTCCCCAATTTGAGTGCCCTGTGCAGGGCCAATTCCTTATACGTAATGGGCCGATTCTGAACTGTAAAGGCGTTATGCAAGCATCTAAGGTGTCCTTCTGTTCCGTCGAGGGCTCATTCTGAGCTATTTTGGATCCATTCCGACCAAATAAGGGCACTTTTGAGTCTATCAAGGGCCCATTCTGATCTGAAGACGGCTCATAATTGGCTGGAGGGCCCATTTTGGCCTGCAGAAGGCCATTCTGGCTTGTAAAGAGCCCATTCTGCCCTACTGAGGCCCATTCTGACCCGTGGAGACTCCATTCTGACCGGTAGTGTGCCATCCAAATCTTTAAAGCGCCTATTATTGGCTTCAGAGGGCCTATTTTGTCCTGTTGAAGGCCCATTCTGACCTGCGCAGGATCCAGTTGACTGCAAAGGCCCCCATTCCGGCTTAAATGTCCCACTATTTAATATAATCGGGGCCATTTTGACATTTGGGAGTTTTGTTCCCCAGCTCGAACATAGTTCCTACACCCCTATCATGCAAAGCTTGAAAATGCACCAAATCATGACGGAATGGCACGAACAGCAGGTGATAATGCTGATGACGTGGCAAGCGCACGCATGGTAAAATAACGTTTGAATGCATTTCGAAAACTTGCGCTTTTTCTGTGAGTAGGGCGATGTAGCGACTTGGCCAATATTCGTTGCCAGGCTACTACACCGCACATGGCGTCGGCACTGCCTCGGTACCATATTCAGCACTTCTGCAATCTGGTGATGTTTTAAACCCAACACAGGTTGGTTCAAGGGAATGCTCCACATCGGAAGATATAGCGGTAAGCATCAAATATGATGAAGAAGCTCACTAAGAACCCAATGATATACTCTGAAGTGGAAGAGGTTGTTCTAGACAGTGCAATTTCTCCGTTTAGCAAATATGCTCTTTAACACGTCATTATTTGATTACGTCATTGTATCTCTCACGACATGGATTGAGGAGTCAATCGATGGCCTTTATATCTGGAAATCGTGCCCACAAACGCCAGATACAAGCGACTCCGACAATGGCAGCTGTTCTTGGCCTTGATCGTCGCATAGCCAATGGGGATGGCAGGATTTTTAATGACGTTTTGAGGCGTCATGATGCCTGGGTGACCTTGAAATATTGTCCCAAAACAGTCTGCACATCTGCGCGGGCGTGTAGCTCAACAACTAGGGAGTTTACGTCTTGGAAGGACAGGGCTGTGAATTGTACCGAATGATCTTCAAGATGGCTGGGTCAGTTTAAAATCCCAGATGAATTTGGAGCAGTCCCTTTAATGGATGTGACGCGGCTGCTGAGAGAAACGCTTATTGGCTGTCGTGGGCGCGGAAGTCATGGGGCGCACACGGATGCGGCATTTTTAATCCCTGAACCTTGCAGCACTTGCGCAGAGCGGAAAAACGCCTGTGCCAATACGGCGTGTTAAGTGGATTATTGGTGTCGCTAGTAGACTGAGATGCTGTTAGGAAGGCCTTTGCTAGTTCTAATATACCTAGAAAACAACTGAGTTTGGTTGAAAGTTTCCGTTTATGATGCGTATCGCCCCATTTAAGACGCGCCAAACGCTGGTCAGCGCGCAAGTTTACTTTGCCGAAGTTGCGTACCAATATGGCAACCTCCCAATATGCTTTATAAACGCGGATCTTGTCTGGTTGCAGTGGATTTGGAACATCAGACTGGCACTGAATGCGGCTATAATGCATGATATACAACATTAATAACTTGTTTCTCGTAATTGGCTTGAGTTAAGAAGAAGCAAATGGGGTAAGGTACAAAGCTCGTGGTAGGGTCGATATGTTTTAATTAATCCTGTATTTTCGGGTTTCGGAATTGTCATTGTCGGATACAATGCATAAATAGGTTCAACAACGAACCGCATGCCAAGTATTAAAACACTTGGTACACACCTCGCAAACACCATTGTTTTGGTTTGTCAAAACGTTGCCGTGTTCACTGACCATTCGCTGCGAACAGGTCGCGGTCCGGAGTAATGTCGTTACCTTTGCCAGGAAGCAGCTATCGCACGCGACTGTACTGCCCCAACCACTGAGCGCATTGACCCCCCGCGCCGCATATCACGTGCCTGCGGCGCGCCGTGGTCTAGTCTGTGTCCGGCACCAAACGTGCAGCGTGGGACGGATGACGTGCTCGCCCTGCTGAGATGGTTCGGTGGCTGGCGCGGCCTGAGGTCGTGTGCAGGTGTGCGATCCAGGCCCATGCTTGCTGCCTCGTGTCTGGGTGATGGGCCCTCCACGCGCCCGGGCGCCCCTGGCGGACCAGTCCTGTTGGGCCATCCAGCTCCGCCTTGGGATTAATGATCGACCAATGTCCGTGTTGGGCCTGGCCAGAAATTTCCTCCATGCCAAGCTCGATTATTGGCAACGGCTTTTGTGAGGAACAGGAGCAAATTCAGTGAGATGTATCTGTGTATGTGAATGCGTTGGATCGTATTAAGGTGGATGGACTCGAGCCTCCCTCTCCCTTCCCAATTTTCAGGGACTCGGTCCCCCTTACTTGACAGGAACTCTCGGATACCAGGGATGTAGGCTCATGGCAATTCGAAGCGTTGCGATGCAAAATCAACGAATGTTTTGAAGCTCTTCCAATGACAGAACTAATGAGCTGAATGTGAGGAGACCATATCATTTGGGGGGTTTCTAGGTTGATCAAGCCAGGACGGAGCATCGAATCCCTCAACGTCTAGGTTGTAACCACTTTCCAGTGGTGACAGCCAAGTCATACTGCATAGAAAAGGCTTTCTTTCCTGTCTGTACATTTAGACGCCCAATGTTGCAGCGACACGTTAAAAAACTCCGCTCTCCCAGAATGTTTTTGTTGTTAGTGTTTCGATAATAATGTATCGAAACACTAACAAACAAAACGGTCTGCAAATCCATATTTAGTGGCATTGGCCTATGCTCCTGTCGTTAACGATTGTGACACAAACGCTGGAGTTAATTATTTATTTCCGCTCGCAGCAACGCATGCATTTCGCACCCGACATTGACCAGGCATAGCAGCCCTCTTTTCGTGTCTGTAGTACTTTTGCAACCTGCGATGAAGAGCAATAGCAAAGAATGACGAAGGTCCAAAGATGATCATATCCTACAGGCTGCCACATTCTACAATTCAAACTGGTGGCCATCTTTTCTTTGGTGTGAGGTCCAAATACATAGCATTAATTAACAACAGCCGGATACTCACGTTTGTTCCACAACTCTGAGAATTCGTTCTGGATCTGCGCGTTCTGAATCAATAGCCCTCACTGGAGCCACCTCAACGTAGCAAATATTTACTCAGTTAGTGCTGATGAATGTTTGTGATGCACTTTTCGCCGTCCCCGCTCAGACCCCCTCCACGCCCCGGCTCGTGCATTTTGGTGCGCACTTTGAGTAGCTCACTCGAAGTGACTGGCACTTGCCATTTGCGGCGGAACCATATGTTGTCGCAGGGTCAATAAGAGGCGCCCATTGGCTGCTGGTGAAGCGGTGTCCTCGTTGATTCATGCAAATATGACTGAAATGGCAAGCAGCGACCGGAAGATTACGTTGTACACGGGCCATAAAAATGACGGATGCCAGCGTTGCGGCTTGTGGAAATATTTGAAATTTCAGGCCCGATGAAAGCCCACGAAGTATCGGCGCATGTTTTTAGTATAACCCGCATAGCAAACTTCACCAAGCGCGACTAAAGCGGTGGTGACTTTAAATCCGCTGGCTTTGGTTTTGACCTTGTTGACCTCTCGCGGTGACCTGGTGGGACCTAGTACAACGTGACTGACTCTGAGTGGCGGACAGCCAAACCAGTCGATGAACTGTGTTAATTAAATCCAAATCAAGAAAGTCTAGGCACGAATTGCTGCATGTGTGGCACAAGCGTCGCAGTCCTTTGCAACCTATGTCATAGTTTAAGTGCCCCAAAACCCAAAACACATTTTTGGTTCAGAACGCTCAGACTAATCAGATGTTGTGAACCAGTAATTATTGAACCAGCCTGCTACGGGTTGGATGCTGTATTCGAAGCTCAGAGGTGGGCTAATTTCCCCTTACACAACCCGGCAAAGGCTGTTGAGA